TATATATATATATATATATCACCTTCGCTCGGTCACAATGCCTAATTATCGTTCAGTTGTCGATCATCGAATTCGCTGTGTCCATTCGTTCGTTTATTTTGCATTTATTCCAGGAAAAACGACCGGTGGGATTGTTTGCAAAAGTGAAATATTATGTGAAACGATATTGGTACATTGCCGTTCCAGTGCACTTCATCGGTAGTTTAATGTGGTTCGGTGGTCTATATGCCGCGGTCAAAAGGTATTTCGCTCTTTCCATTCGTTCTCGGATGCTTCATCATGATGCACTACAACTGAATGTCAATTTTTATATAATACGAGGCACATTTCTGAAATGGTAGTTTCCGTCTAAGTATTTGCTGTTCGGAAAAGTGATAGTGATAAATTCAGTCTTTAAAAATTCAGCTGGATGTGTATTTATTCACATACCTACGGCAATAAATTCCAGTGCGAATAAATAAACGAAGGAACCGTTCATTGAGATGATGCCAAACATTGTTTCAGCTCATTAATCCCTGTTCAGTACATCCTGTTTTCAGTGGTATCGATGTTGTGAATATATTAGAGCATTTGCATTTGTCTGAAACACTTATAGACAAAGTTAGAAGTACACCGCCGAGTGCAGGTGTTTTGGTGTTCACGCTGATTCTGTACAAGGTAATTATTATGTTTTATCTCATTTCAGTGCTCTCTTTATCGTCACATTCTAAAATAAGTGCGTAGTAATATAATATGGCAGATATTGATTATAACATGGTAGTTTGCAGATTGTTTCTCCACTTCGATATGCAACTACATTGGCAGGAATACAAATTGTTTTTTCAACGTTGAAGCGAATGGGTAAGCTACCGATCGCTAAGGAAGTGGCGTACGAAATTCGATCGAAATATGAAAATGAAATGAAGAAAATTGGTCGGCATTATCATAAGTATAGTAAGGCTGGTGTTCGAGCTGTGAAGCGACGTTTATCGAATGAGAAGCGTGATGCTTGATTGAATACTCGAATTGATCAATTCCTGCATTGGTTTCAAATCGACAAGCTAAACTGAATCTTGTATTTGAATGTCACTGGTATGATTGCTTGTACTTTGCTATGAAGCTAACTTGAATTTGGTTTTATTTGTTTGAAAAAATGAAATCACAAATAATTCTTTCCAAAATCGCCTCTTGTCCGGAAGGACTGAACTTCGAGTATGACCGTCAATTGCTGTAATCTAGTATTTATTGCATTTAATGAAGAACTCATTATATCTAACAGAATCATGTAAAATAATTATCACAACAGCGGTCATTAATATTTGTTGAAAGCGGGTGATGTGTTGAACAGTCTTTTTTGTACGTGTCTTGTATTCAAGTGGATAGAATCTTTTTATTCAACTTCATTATTCATGATGAATTGTTAACGAACGCCTTCTTGATTGATAGGTTCAGGTGATGCAAGCAAAGTATATCTCATTCGTTACATCGTTTGCATCTGATGCTGAGTTTGGTTTGATTTGATTTGCTTTGTGTCATACATGTTATTCTGATCAATCCACACTCACGAAGTTGTAATTGGTGAAGGTTTTGCTATTGCATCAAATTCAAGCAATTTGTTTGCTTCATTAAGCCACCCAACCTACTTAAGACTGGTTTTCATTGTGTAAACATTGAGATTTGTGAAGATAAGTCGAAAATGCTTTTCAAAAAATAGACTGATATTTGAAATAAGTGCTAGCAAAACGTTTGCTTGCAATGCATTCTGATTAAAGTTGTTGTGAGTGAATTTAGGTTAATTCAATGATTATTTTGTATATTTTGAACATTTTTGCGATTTTTAGTTTCCTTTCTTTTCACTCTTAGGTGATAGATGTCGACTAGTTTGATTTTGTTATTTTCTTTTAGTTTTTGACTTATCCGTTCTGCACTAATGATTTGTACACGCATGTTATTGCGTGCAATTATCCTGTCATTTTTAATGCGTTCTTGATGCAGTTGCGATTGAGTTTATTCATTTTGGATTAATTCTGCTTATTTGCTTAATAAAACTCCGGTTCGAAGTACTCTGTTGTGCGCAAACAAATGATAGTGTAATCAGCAACCGTCGTGTTCGAGGTGATGTCGATTCATCCATCACTTCAGGTAATGCTGCTGATTAATTAACTGGGCTGAAGTAATGCGTGCAGTTCAACTGATAAGCTCTTGTGGCGTAAGACGAGCAGTTATCATTGATTCGTTCGTAATGTTCGCAATTTGGTTTTTTTAAATCAAAAACCAATGTGAAAAAACATCATTGATATGCGTATTATATGTGTAAGGTCATTTAGATATAGACTGGTGAATTGCTTTTGAACAAGTCAGATTTCAAGTGAGCAATTTCGAGAATAAAATTTTAGTGATGTGAGTGGTGGTTGTTAATTGCATCATCATCATCAGTTAAACAGTCAGCAGTACTTGACTGTATCGTCTCGTTCTAGTTGTACATTCGAGTGAAACTTTACATAGCAACCGCAATAGCAGCAGCAACAGCAGCAGCAGCAGAGTCATGTGTGCAGATTGGCACGTTTCATGTTCTTTTTATTACTTTTATACTTTCGTTGTCGTTCCAATTGATTTTTTTGTTGTTTTCATTTACTGCTGACTAGCAGGTATTATCATCGCTGCTGTTGTTGTTGTTGTTGCTGCCATTGCTGCATGGAGATTTCAAATCGATTCGCAGTTCTTTCAAATGGTTGCTTATATCATAGCCAAAGCAGTAGAATCCAAGTGCTGAATTATTTTTTCACTTATTGTCTTATGCTGAGTTATTTGGTTACGTAATTGTATTGATGATATGTATTATGAATGATTGTATTTTACTCTAATAAATAGATTCAAAAAATGGTTCTATAAGAAATTTCCGATCGAACAATCAGCTGAGTATGCTGCGCATGATTTCCTCCTGAAAACAATCCCAAGTGTGAGTTGTAAATCGTTGTAGAAGCGTTCTCCGCTATCATCGATGGAATCAGCGCAATGAATGTCATAAAATTTGATCGTTCGCAAGGATTTTGAAGTTTGATAAACTCGATGTCAGATGAGAACGTAAAATCCATTGCTTGTTTTATTATTTCTTTCTATTTTTTGTGAGTAAAACTTTTGTCTGAGAATTGCAGCGAATTATGGTTCACTTCAGATAAAACTTCCAATGTGTGGGGATAATTCGCTGTAGGTTGTTCTTCTTCGACGAGAACAGCACCTCAGTTTTTAACTTAATTCGAAATTTATCCAATCGTTTCAAATGCACATATTTCATTAATCATTTAAGTGCATCATCGTCAACTGTTTTAAATTCAAATGGACCATGGCTTTTTGAGCATGGTAAATAGATTATAATTCACCAATGCAAGATGAATTCAGTGCTAGCATGACTATGTTTCATTGTTTCAGTGCTCTGCAATAGTCGGCTTATATTCACGTTGTTAAGCGTTATTCAATGACGAATCATTGTTGTTCCACCGATCCTTGTCAAGATGAACGTTTCGCTGAGCACAATGGTGAATTCTTTAACCTTCTTATTCATTAGCATGAAAGTGGTTAACAACCTATACCTCATCTCTATACATGCTTTGTTCTGCTATCATTGAAAGCAACTGCACATCGTACAGCACTATATCGATGAATCTATCATCATAAATCAACGCAATACTACTCTATGATGACATGAAATTATTTCCAGTCTATAAGATTCGTTTTGGAAAGCGCCAAGTCCGTCGTTTTCGCACATTGATCCTGATCGTCTTTTTCTACGACGAGTGTTCAGGGCTGATAACGAATTATACTTGTATATCAGTCACTCATTGAGTAGATGCCAGATTTTATGTTTTGCTATAACGCATGTCCATATCAGCTGTTCGGCTGGAATTGACAAATGCTTATTGCACGCATCGTTACGATGTCTAAATCATTGTTCATTTGAACGAATTTCAAACAATCATCAAGTACGATGCAGTTGCCATAAGTGGAAATTTAGTTATGGTTGAAGTATCGAAAATACACAGTGTATTAATTCAATTTTCAACCTACAATCTAATCTTGCAATTCAACATTCACCTTTCAATTTCCAAATCCTTCGTGTACATCTTTTACTTAAGTTTTCAAGCTTTTGTTCTTTTGCGCATCTATCGTTTTTGAATTTTTGATGGTACTTTACACATGTTGAAACCACCAGTTGTTCTCTTTTCCGACATCTTTTCGATCTGGTGAACTATTTGTTGTTTTCTTTGAATAGTTAGCATGTGGGTTGTTGTCTGTGAATATTTTTGAATTGGACGCATTTGAAGAATTTCCTTAGTTTTGAGAAATTTACTTTTCATCAATAATTTCGCTGATTGCTGGTTTAGCATATTAGACAATTAAATCGAAAATGCAATTGCATAAAAATTTCATCAATGCGATCGTGTATGGTCGCGGATATGGAATTGATTGAGTTGTGATTCGTTGAAGTACTTGTATTTGAATGAAGCTTTATTGCATTGGATTCGTTGTATGTTACATGTTATCAGATGCAGGTTCATCATCAGGCAACGACATCGATGCTCATCTGGATATAAACTCGCCGTCTTGCACATCATTCATTAGCATATCCACTCGATCAGTGTCAGTCTCGTCAACAACCGAGTTGAAGAAGAAGAGTGAACTGGCAGATGTATGCGCAGTGTTTACTGATTCATCTATGACACTTGATCAAACTGAAGTGAATACAGCTTTAAATGCGCATAAAAGTGTTCGTTTCGCTGACGACTGTGGCCATGAACTCGCTACTGTACGAGTTATGACCGAGCCGTCTGATTATCCTCCAGCAATCAATCCATCGGTTTGTAGATTCATCAGTCGTTGTGAGCATTTACTTGTACGCAAGTATGTATTGGTCGCAAGTAGAAAATATGGAATATTTCATTTATGATATTTTCAACAGAGCACACTTTATTGTGAGCAGGAGAGATAGAGTGTTAACCACAAAATAACTTCATTTCATTGGTCACCTTCGTTATGTGATGATTCAGTTATTCTATCGGTTTTGCGTTTTCAGGTGATCAGACGGCTTTTGGGTAAAAGTGGAGATGATGATTCGGGCGATTCTGAACAGCCATCAGCGGCTACCTGGGTGGTCGGATTCAAGCAGCCGGCAAGTGAATATGTGAAATTTCGAGAAACACTTGAGAGAGGCATGGTAGCGCTCGAGAATGTTATGCTAAAAAACGATATATGCCATATGGTTGGCACTGTTAAGGTGATTATTCACTTAGGTGATGAATTCATGTATCCATTCTGTTTCTATGAATTAGGCGTATCATTTGAATCCATGCTTCAGAATTGCTCCAGTTTTCTTGTTGTGAAAACTTGAGGATGTTCTTGGTAAAAATGTGCTTGTGGGTAGAGTCTTTGGAAGTTCAGTTTTTCATTAGAACAACTCTGGTTCCACTTGAGGGTTCTGATTTTAGGTGAAAAACATTGCGTTCGAGAAGCGTGTCTTTATTCGCTTGACGTCTGATGGTTGGAAGAGTTTTAAGGATAGTGCCGCATCGTTTCAGCCATCCTCGTCGAAAGCATTTGACACGTTTAGTTTTGATATGGAAATCCCATCCAATCAAAATGAACCAAATGCAACCATTGAGTTCTGTGTGTGTTTTGAAGTTGGTCCAGCTGATGGTAAGCTGTCTATCTCGGAATGGTTGTTTTTTGGAAAATATTGTTGTTTTTTTCGTTGAACAGTGCTATTCGTTGATATTGATTTGTTTTTTTTGGTCAGTTATTTAGCTTCAAAAAGTCAGTCAGTTCGTTTCTTGTTGATAAATGTCGATCAGTATATCGCAAAACATTAATGGACATTGAACTAGATTGGCATGCTAATGGTTATTTAACAAGTGTTTTTGAGAGTAATTGCGTTCGGTTTTATTAGAGTGAATGTTGTTTCAGATGAATCAAAGCGATCGCAGTATTGGGATTCGAACGGTGGACTAAATTATCAACTGAAAAGTGCTGAAAGCGATTCGAATAAATTGCATGAGATTACACCGTTGTTCGGCAGACATCGTTTGGATTCAGATGATGCCTATTTATGCGATTATGATAATTGGACGAAATTCGCCAGCTGGAAAAATCTATCAACTGAAGGCCCATATTGGTGACCACAACAGCTGTCGACTGTTTACAACAACAAGTTGTATATTGGAATTTTCTTTTATCATCATTATCATCATCATCTAGAGATGACAAACATTTGCTTTCTCTATGTGCGTCGTATGTGTTCAAATTTGCACCACTGTGTGATATTTTTCATTTTGCCCTGGTTGATTTAGTCATTCGTTGAATGTGTTTTGTGCGCTTTTATGTGTGGTGGTTTTTTAGATAATTACGGCAAACATCGCGTGAGATTAGAAAAAAGTTTTTTGATAGTTTCAATGACCTATTGATCTTAAAATGTCGCAAAGGAGAGATTAAGTCGAAGAGTGAGTGAATTCTGAATGAATTTGACGAATAACATCTCATAATTAGCTAAAAGACTGACTGAGTATCGTTAGAAAAGCCTGTGCTCTTCTTCTTCCGTATTCTGCTTCATCGTTCTTGTTGCACTGGCGAATCTTTCGTCCTGAAATCCAGATGCACTTCAACTCCTGAAATGTTGCTCTTTCAAGGAACACTGTTCACTGCACTTACAAGGAACTAATGTCTTGTGTGAGAGACGTAGTAATTCATTTTTCACTCTCAATTTTTTAGCTGCCTAATTAATGACTGCATCGCGTTTCGAAGAACCATCCATCAGAGTGTATAATATATGAATGCAGCTTTGTAAATTGCTCAGTCTCGTGCTGCATGGATTGATGGTGCGCGTTGATAGTGGTCATTGGTGTGGAAAGTAATTTGTCGCGGAAATATCTCTGTAGTAGGAGAAAAATTTACATCCGATGAATTGGAATATCGATAATAACAAATTGATTTGTCTCGATGACATAGATACTCTTAATACGGGTCAATTTCCACGGTATTCATATGTTTATCGACCAATAATTTCTGATATTCCTTTCAATTGTGTAACTTTCTGCTCCTTTAAATATATTATCTTCGTTCAGATCTTATTGAATGTTGTCGTTCTCTTATTCAAGCCATTGCTGACAGTAATTACTGCTCAAATAAGTGAATTTACTAAATTTTCATGCCATATGAAGGTGGATGGGTATAAGCAGTTAGAATTAAAATGAATTGGATATGTGTAAGCAACCGTATTACTCCCTCCATTTTTTGCAGTATTCAATTTCGTTTCTTATTATGATTGAATTTTTGCTCGAAAGATACCGACAGCATTTTGTTGATCGGCGAGATTGAAGGTCAGTTGTCGGAATTTTGTTTGTTTCGTTGAATTACAATACGACAGTTCAGTAACAACAACTTTAACGAAATGAAATACGTGTATATGATTTTGTTTAGTTGTAACTCGAAATGGTTCAGAGTAGTTCTCCTAGTTGAAAAACATTTGAAAATTTATTTTATGCGTTTCGCGGTGAAATGAAGTTGTGTTTGATGAGGTTACGCATGCAGTGAATTATTGGAAGATAGTTGATAATTTATTGTACTTGTTGTCACAAATTTTAGTTTTATTCATCGATTCGTTAGGTAGTGCTATATGCGCCGCTGATTGTTTCATCTCGAAGAATCTTTGGTCATGTAAGTTAAAGAGTATTGCTCATGAGTGGGAATTTTAAAATTTTATTCTCCAGATTCATCGAATCATTGCTCGGATGTACGTAGTATTATCATTGTTCATATTCAGATTGCGGCGTTTTTTAAAATTTTATTTCGACTAGTTTTAATTAGTTGATTAGCTATATATATTTTCGTTTGTTGATGTTTGTATTATAGATGGAAGAAGTGTTTATTGTAGCTGTTACAGCTGTTTGCTTGGCTATTTAGTAGCTTGCAAACAATTCTCAGGACATGAGGAGATGAAAACAGTTAAAATGGAGCAAATTTCGCTCGAATAATGAGCTTTGGTGTAAATAGTCAATGTGATTTTATCAGATACGATCAGATGAAATTGTAAAAGCAGCTACTCTGAGCGCTGTCTTCAAAAGAGATATTGTTTTGGGCATATCATATGAAGTGTTCTTCATCAGTAATAATGCATTGTTGAGTAAACATACACAAAGTGCTAAATTAGCCAATTCACTATCAGCTAAACAAATTTCACAAGCAAGGAGAACACTGCTCATATGTTATGCGTCCATTGATCCAGTCCTCGGTACATTGCAAAAACAACGTGGTATTTACTAACTGCCAAATGAGATTGTGCCATATTCGCAGTCGCATATATATACGTGATATTGTTGTACTTTTTATTTGATTATTATTATTTTGTTTATTGATTTGTTTTTGTTTCGTTTTTATTATTGTACATAACGAAATTAATGCCACCTAGCTCATTCTTCAGTATTTTCTGCGATAGTCATTATCCCACTTAGTCATTCATATGCATACATTCATACTCATCTTTCGTATCAGGGAGCCTAGTATAATAACAATAATAATAATAATCGTGTGTTTTGGCGATGTGATAATGACCGTTAAGGAGTGGAATTGCTTCGATGACAGCAACTTTTCAGCACTGCATCCTTTTAGGATTTGTTTAGTTATGTCTGAGAATGTCTGTTTGAGCTTTCTTCTAAATAAAAACCCAATTCAGCTTTAGATGTAGAGTGCACGTATGTTCTGATGAAAGAATCCAATATGTTCAACTCACGAGTTAATGGTCGATTCCTTTTGAAAGAAAATAGATTTATAGGTCATTATCATGTTTGCAGAAGTTCACAATAATAGCAATCGTGAGATTATGCACGATAATGTCAGCTCGCCGTGTTCCTCCTCATGTCACATCTGCATAGCTCCATCTAATGCTTCTTCTTCTTCTTCAGTATTCGTCAACGACCACTCATTTTAATTGGAAACTGTTGTATTGAATATCATCGTCTCATCTTTATTATCTGTCAGCTTGTTTTATGGCTTATCAACTTCATCAGACTTTGTTTTCTTCTTGAACATTTGAATGAGTACGTTTCAGGTGCTGTTGGTTGTTCCTTTATGAATACGTGCACACCTTTGAAATCCGTTTATGTTTCTTACGCGGATTTCTGTGAATGGATATATTTGGCATTTTCCGAATTCATCCATCCGTTCATATCTGTTCATTTATTTATTTGCAGCAGTTTATTTTGTTTCTCCCAATTAGCTGTTTGTTCCTGCTAGTTCCATTGATTTCGTTCCTTATTGACATCTTCCCGCTTTTCTTTTCAACGGGGAAAGAAATTTGAATATATTATCTGTCTATTGCAGAGTAGTTTTCATTTGTTTATTTCATGTTAACTGATTTGTAAATCTGCCCAGATGAATAGGGTCTTCTTTCATACTAGTGATACGTTTCGAGTGCATGTTTTGCTCATTCTTTTCGAAACAATGAGAAATGAATTGTTTGAGACTGTCCACGCATCTGTAAATAACAAATAGTGATAATTGTCAGAAACCGAATGGGTTTCTGTGTTGATTCATTTGAATTGAATCAGCAACTTATTTTGACCGAATGCTCATTGTTGATGCGTCTGGGTTTTTATAAATGCTCATTTATACAGCAACCTCGTATAAAAAGCGTTTGTTTGCCGATCATTAAGAGTGCCTTCTTGCAATAAACTATGCACGACTGTACGGCTTGTTAATTTTGAACTTATTATAGCTGTTACAATTGATATTATCATTAATACTGATATTATTTGTTGGTGTTTGTGTGCGTGTGTGTGATATGATTCTATTTATTTTGCTGGTATGTACTTTCCTTATATTGTTTTGTGATATTATGACTATTTGTCATTGTTTTTTTCTTGTTGTATGCAACGCATTTTTTGAATAATGCCATGACAAGAGATTATTAGAATATTCGAACTATACTGGTTTTATCATTATCATTTTTATTAAACGAAATATTTTCTTCTTCTTTCTTGCCTCTTCATCATGATTATCAGTGCTATTATTTGGTGTTCATTAGAGGTATTCATCTGTTTACTCAATAATTTTTAGTAGTGAGTAGAAATCTATAGGTTTTGTTGTTGTTGTTCGCCTAAAATTTAAAACTAATCTTCATGAACTAATCTTCAATGAATTCAATTCGTATGATTCGTATTCGTTTTCTATGATGTTGATCTGTTATGTTTTTTCGTAGATAAATATTATGTCGCTGTTGTATTAAAGTAGACAAATATGGCCTTCTTGAAAGGGAGTAAACCTCGTTGAAGATTCGAATGTAAATCACATAGTCAGTTTATCGTTCATCGTTGGTTGTTTCATTGAATGAAACACTGGTTCACATCAGAATCAACACTTTGGTGTACGTCGTACTGGTCTGATTGATGATTGTTCATTATACATCATTTCATTCATTCAACTCATCCTCACTCTTGTAACTTCAGTGTTTCTTGTCTCATCGTACAATAATGTAAATTTCCCGTTTCATTTCAGAAATTTTCTGTGTCCACTTCCGTCGGTATCTTGATCTGAAAGTTTTTATTCTTTTGTTCAAAAAAGTTCGTTGATCATTGTTTTCGTAGTAGAAACTTTCAGTTTTCATTTTCCAGCATCTTCTTCACGTTCTGTTTAAATGCGTTGTTGTAAAATCCCAGTCGCTTTCGATCATATTTCCGTATTTGGTTGAATGACTTCCCCGATTCGAAAGGTTTGTGAAAATCACACCCTCTGAGTTCCGCTAATCAAGGAAACATGATGTTTTGTATTATATTCGTGATGATATTCGAATAGATGGTACTTGGCATGTTTTATTCGTTCACTCATGCATCACCTTAACACACCATCCATATTCTTATCACAAAGTACGACTGGTTTTTGTACTAACAATTCAATGAATAAATAAATTTTGTGGTGCTCAAAAAAAAAAGGATGTCTTCTGTATCGATGAATAAACATTGTTGAACAATTTATTCTTTTGCATCATACCATTCAAGTTGTCATCATCGCAAAACATCAAACTCATCGATCAAACGACACATTTCAGCAGGGGATCTTTTTATTCGTTCATTGGTGCATCCTCTCAACATTCATTCATACAACTGCTGCTTCTACTACGACAAAAACTTACTTGTTAATAGTAAATTTTATGGTGCTTGAAATAGAGTTTTTTTTTTTGTTTGTCTGTATCTATATGGTTGTTTAATGATCATCGCTACTACTGTATCATCATCGTCAAATTCATCGATCAAACAGCATCTCTATCAGTCAATCAGTCGGGTGATATTGCAATTCTTGTAGTTGATTGTTCAACGTCATCCGATAAATCAATAGGATAGTCGTAGATGAGGCGGTAGTTCTTCTGGTTTCAGAGAGTACTGCAAAAACACAACTCGAAGTGATCACATTAATTCTCGTTCAGTTTCACCGCACCAACAGCAACTTGCACTCAATATTCATCTTGTTCAGAGTTTGTTTTCCACATAAAATTGTCGGTTTGTTCACTTCGTTTTAAATCAAAAAATACAAAAATAAAAGATTTTCATTTCGCTCATATTTATTATGATGTCATTATCGTCATTCTTGATCCATCACTCTTTTACTTTGACTTTCGACTCGTGACTGACAAATGATGCCTTAAGGATCTCCGTGGAGAATTTTTTTTTTTGGAGGAAGCATTATTGCTATCATAATAATAATAATAATAATAATAATAATTATTATTATTATTATTATTATTATTATTACTATTATTATTGTCATTATTGCCATTATTATTGTTATTTTTCTTATTGTTATTATTGTTGTTGTTATTATTATTGTTATTATTATTACTATTATTATTGTCATTTCATTTTGAAAATATACCTCAATTTCATTGACCTCTTTCAAAAGTCGGCAATATTCACTAAAGATTCGTGCCGTTTGACGACAGTAGCAATTGCTGGTTTTGATGATATCACCGCGACACTGACCATCCAGCCGATCGATCAGTGTTCGTAACAACCGAAATAAACATTATATAATTGAATGCCTACTAAAATTACATCAAATCAACGATATGCATTAATCGTTAGTGACAAGCTAACACCGCTTCGTTGTTTTCTGCTGCGAATACTGCTGGCTGCCTGCTTGCAGACTAACGAATTTGTTTGTAGCATTCAAATAACGATTATTTGTGATCATGTACCATACAATTTGTTCACTGAGATTCTTATAATAGTAATAATGATATCAGAAATTTACCTTCAGTCGAATCATGTACTGTATAACGTCGTCTGGTGGACGACTGAAGATTTTCGTTCGAACTGAAACAAAAAAATGGAAAAATAATCACTTTTGTTTTGATTAAACTTGAATATCCAGAAACTAAATGATCTCGAAATGTTTATACGTTTTCGCTTGAGTGCCCATGGCAATTTGCAATGATACTGAATGCTTACCGTGAAAATCAAAATACTGCTGTTGCATTCTGAATACAGATTTTCGAAGACGATGTCTCCTGCGCTCGTTGAACCACAAGCAGTCACATGTATGCTCTCTAAAGTATACATTTCACTCCCAAGGTAAAATTCGAAATGTTCGTGGCTTTGAATAAATCATAAATTGAATAACTTCGGATGATGATTGGATTGTGATCTTGGATTTCGGAAACGAAATTTGAAATAATTCAAAACTGTTCGAAATCATGTTGCATAAGGGTGTATGATTGCTTCCAAATCTGCTATTCGACAGAAATACGTTCAATATTTCTCGAAATTTTACATGAAGTACGAAAAAATTGTTTCCTTTGAATAAAACGTACTCCGGCTTACACTAGGACATACCCTCACGCCTAACCTGTGGTTTGTTCCTGAGCATACGCCAAGATTTATGACGGGAGTTGGGCTGAAGCTTATCGCGGGACTCAAGATGAGATTCAGAAAGGGCAGGGTCGGGGGGAGGCTTACCACAGTGCCTAGGGCAGTAAGGCGTTTCTTGCCCGGCTGTTCTTTGACAATACAAAAATTTTGAGAAGTTTAATGATGCTGAGTCTTATCGAACTCACCGTTTGTCCCCAAACGCATTGTAGATTGTATTAAGAGCCTAAAAGTTCACATATAAGCATTCATGCGTTTTTATTGTCTTTCGAAAGTATTTGCTAAGCATCACTCAATTGAACTGCTCAATAAGACATTTGATATTCTAGTAGATGCACAATTGAAACAAGTGCGCACAAAAACATTTCTACGAATTGAGCAACTGATTCCTTTATTCATAATACAACGATAGAGAATAACATCGCGAAGCTGAAGTTGTGGAAAATAATGAACTTACTGCAAATGAGGTTAACGAAGTTTGAGTGGCTTTCGTGCGATCAGCAATGTCGTCATCGTCAGCATCTGATGGAAGAACGACCGGTTTCATTCGCTCTTTCCGCTTGTTGAAACTTCTTCTGATCCAATCGAGTCTGCCCGAGTTGGACCGCTTCAGTTTTGCTTCATCCTGCGTACACTGCACCTCCTCTGCGAAAGTCATCATCAGCATTTGTTTTGTTCATTCAAAATTTTCTTCTTCATAATGGAGCACAGAATGCAATTTCGACGGTCATTTCGTAGCGCCGCGCTCTTTTACACTTGTAGCAGTCGTTCAAAATGTTTTCGATTTGAGTCAAACCGTTAAAAGAGGACTTAAGAAATTCGTGAATTCTGATTGCTTTCGATACAAATGACCTCCTTCATTTCTCACGATAGTGGGAGTGGTCGTATAATTTCGTACAATTGCTATAAACAATTACACCATAATTGTATTTTTCTGAGAATTTAAATTTAGAACTCTTTATTCACCATCGGCTTCATCGAGTATTTTAAGACGTTTATTGAGTTTTTCATCCAAATCTAAACCAGCATCAGAATCTCCTCCACCAGTAACACCATCATCGATTGTGTTGTTTTGTCTTTTTTTCGAAATTGACCCTTCTTCTTCCTCCAAATCGTCATTCGTAACTATCGGTCTTTCCATTTCATAGACACCTTAATTTAACGGTTAATAATTGAATGATGAATCTTTCTGATAATGCCACCAAATCAACTGACCTTACAGTTTTTAATGCATGTTTAGTCAATGAGTACAGAGTTTGATGATCGATATTTTCAAGTTTATCCATAATTATGAGGCACTTTTTCGTCGTTTGCTAATAAAACTGCTAATTATCCAAGCAACTGGCAATGAGTGAAGGTAGCAAGTCACACTCACTTACGTGACGACGAAACTCAACTGAATTGTGCGTTTTGCAGTGCACGATATTCTTCTTGCGATATCTCCGTCCATATCTCCGATGCATCATTGTTGATCGCACGTTTAGATCGTACTCTTTTCTCGCTCAAATTTTTTTCCGTATGATGTTTCTTATACAGAGCTTTATCATATATGTATTCTATTTAAAGTGAATTCATGACACACCATTTATTATGTTATCTCACGAATGATTTCCCAGAAGAAGTTGATAAAATCAACTCTCACTTTTGAGGAATGTACGTTTGCGACTATATAAATCAGATCAGTAAATGACGCGACATATCATAAAACAACAAATTAGACTGATCATCCAAAGTAAAGCATAAATAAGAATGACGATCACAATAGATTAAACGGTATCATAAATTCATCCATTCCTCATCACTGATAAGAGCCAGCAAATAAAGTTTATTTAAGCAACGTTTGTTTGAGAGTGACAATTTTTGGCTCAAGAATTCTATATTCTTTCAGTCTTTGCATTCTATATTCTTTCAGTGCTCATGCCAATCCGATACAATGAAAGAATTTAAAAACAAATGAAACTGAAACATTCGAAGAGTGAGGCCAACCGCACAGTAGCATGGCAACAAGACAACTGTTTTAGGAAAGTTAGCTGTTATTTTTTTTAAGAAATGCAAAAGTTTCATTTATCTTTTTGTGGTGTTTGATGAAAATGGAATTTAATTCGATTAACACGTCACAAATGAACGCAAATTGAACACCATTGTCACACTGAAAGGATTGTTATTATTTCATGCGAATGTTTATTGAGTACGTTCATTAGGTCCTAATGGAACTGCTTTATTCCACATTCAGAAATACATTTCTCATCCCTAATTTTACAACAGTGCTCTTAAGACGAGTGTATATCTCGGGAAGACGAATGAAAATCATCATAATGCAAAAATACTCATTTGACCTTATAAATACAATCTAGTTACACATGTTACTGCTGCATAATGCACGCTCAATGAGCACTTTCTTGTTAGAGGTGTAAGATGAAGAACGAATAATATGAGTAAAATACAGAAACCGGTCGCTTGATGATGAGGTTGCAAAATCAATTTATGTGAAAGATTGGCTGAGAAGCTGTACAACATGTCAGTTCAGTCGAATTACCGAAGCCTGTTCAAAATGAAAACACTTCATTCATACACCTTAGTGCATATCCTAAATCAAATTTGCTCAATAAAATTTCTTAGCGAAAACGTTCAATCAACTTCAAGAAATCTTCAATTAGTGCATTGCACAGACAGGAAAAGTCAACGATGGAGAAGCTCGGGGATGAAATTTGCAGTCTGGAACTGCGAAAATGCTGTAGCCTTGAAAAAAAAAAAAACGAGAACGGCGAAAAGATAATTTCGAGGCGAAACTGCAATTCGTCTCCGCACCCATTCCCGGAAACAATCTCCGAAAGAGTGACGTTTGCACGAGAGCCAACGCAAACTGAAGAACGTGGATATGTGTTGGTAAACCATCAGAATAAAAGGAACCTGTGCGATAAGATAGAAATAGTAGCAATGCCAAATAGCGATTGTGTTAGCAACATTTAGTCATGTGAAATCGGAGAAGAATTGAGCAGAATGTCACCGATAACAAAATTGTATCAGACATATTCAAAAAGATGTAAATTTTCGGTATCGCTCCGATCTTCTAATCTTCATAATTCTTGAAGTTCTCAATTATTCTACCTTACAGACTCACAGGTTCCAAAAATTTTCCTCAACCACTCCTTACTGGAATTTGTAACAATTGGATAGTCCAGTGGTTCTCATAGGGGGTGAAATTACCCATTTTGAGTAATTTGAAGGTGTCAAGGGGGAATGGAGGGGATTAGTTGATGGCATTCTTCATTCTCCTATTTTCTAAGTATCACTACATCGTTCGGACCTAATAGAGAATTTATTCGTTTTAACAGGGTTTTCATTCTTTTCTTGCTGTTACAATCGCTCTCATAGCTTTGATCACCAAAAGTATTTTCTTTTGCTAATTTCTCATTCATTTCACTCAACAATTAAAGTCAAATTCTCATTCTATCAAATACACTCTATAATTGATCATTTGACTGTCGAACGTTGTTGAGCAATAATATTCGACTGTTGTGTTGTTGATTTCGGCTGTCAACACTCGTCAACGTATCGAGTAAATAGTATATGCTACAGAATAAGAAATTGATTCGAGCTGTGAAGTGAAGTGATACGAAGTGAATGAGAAAAACTCATCAAGAGAACGATATTCGCATATAATATCTATGAGAGTGAACAGAACACGTTTGAAAAGAATGAGAATCCATCTAAATCAGTTCGAATTGAGCGTGTCGTGGATAATAGCTTTTCATGCAATCATAATCGATCGCAGCAATGAGCAACACCACAGTCTAGGACAGTAATTTCTTCGACGCCACTGAGAAATTTCCGGACTGATTTTCCGTTTGTTCCTGGTGTTCGCTTTTGACTTTCTGGCACGCTGTGATTAATTTCTGAGGAATGTTCAGAGAACTTCCCAGAAATTTTTGGAGGACTGCGGTTTTTCAACAATTTTGAAAAAATCAAAGACAAACCTTTCAATCGAGGACCCCGAAAATGCCATCGCTCTGAAAGTGGAAAAACGAAAACGGGGATCCTTGGAAATTGCCGTTCCCTACAACACACCACTTCCAACCGTTTTGTAATAGAAGGCATTCATGAGAATAAATAAATGGTTGAGTAATTCATTAATTTGAAATCGCATATGCGATCAGTCATGACGTATTGTTGCTCGATCTGAGATTGTTTTGAATAAACGGTTCGCCCTTCATCAGCAGTGGACATCAGCACAAAAATTTAATCATTTATTGTGACTTAATACAAACTTCAAAATCAAACAAAAAAGGCGAAGGCAATAAAACATGAGCGATTTCAAATTTACAAACAAATGAACAGAACAAACAAACACTGAAGTAAGTAAATAAATTTCCAACAACAATTTGTTCAACCACACATTCATTAAGTTAGTTTTCATTTTCAAATTGCGATCATATTCATCAGTGAGTGTGTTTCATAAAAATCAAATTCAGCAAGTGTCAATGTTATAATTAATTGTTCAGTTCAATTCAACAATATCACTATGAATGCGCAAATTAGTTTACATCGTTTCTTTTTTTTTCAGACTATCAAATCAAACAGAGCAATTCATAATTCAAGAACTTCGCTCATCTCTTATAGAATAATACGATTTTTGTTATTGGAACAAGTTGCGGGAGTTTTTTTTTTACTATTAGTGCTTAATTCATTATCAGTCAGCGTTGCATCTGCTAGCAATATGCATGACGCAGTCGATTCGATCGCTTCGTTTCGAGTCTTCAACTGTTAGAAGAAAGCGGAAAAAAAAAGAATTTCACACACGTTCTAAATCACTTATTGAATCGATGATTTGCAAAGATCACTTTTCACCCAATGATCTTTTCTTTTGCACTTAGATATATCACTTAAATCATATACATATAATGTTTCGACCAAAATACATGCATGCTATGTTGTATCATTCAAAATGTGTCATTCTGTCGTGGTTTAGTGAGAATATGTCATATAGCCGTAGTAAGGAGCACTTCCAGCCGGACCGAACTGACCATAGTAGGGAGATGGATATCCATAACCTCCGTACGTTCCATACGCATATGGCATTACTGCAGACGATTTGTCATAGACATTCGGCATCATATATCCACCATGTTTCGCCTCGAACGCTTGTTCCTCTTCTTCCTAGAATATCGTCGAAAAGATGTTCGAATATTTCAGTTAGGTGATACCGAAGAGTGGAATGAGTCAATGATTATTCTATTTTACTATACATATCTACAGACGAGGACTTCAACTACTGTCAGTGAAACAATTCGATTGTTGCAACGAGAGTCGAGTAGTTCCAAAAGTGTCGTTCCAATGAAATGGCAAAGGGAATGAGAAGATGTGCAAAGGCAGACTATTAAATTGATGGGTAACGGGCCAAGGTCATAATCATCATTTAATTCACTCATATTATCTTATAAATTTACTCACCATTCCAAATATCATCTGCAAACAACGTATGCACTCTATAAACACATTCTGTTCTCACATAACTCCTCAGAGGGCAACGCTCTCTCGTCTCAATGCTGACGCGTCTGCTAGTGGGATAGGTCAATCAAACTCAAGAACGTAAAGGCTCACAGTTTGTTAGTTCATTTGAAGATAATCTACAAATAGCACCTTTGTGCAAATTTATATGATCATACCTTGATTTTCTTATACGAAAGAAGCATAAAGCTACATGCAAGTAGTACAAATCCAATGCCAACCCATGAAATTACGTATGACCATCCGTAATTGAATCGAGTCGTTTGTTTCAAAATCTGAACATTTGAAAACATTGAATTCGGATATGAGGACGACCAAAATTTCAAATCATAAGTGTAATAATAACACAAACACGCTTGACTTGATAAAAAAACTTATTTATCGGATAGATATACTTCGATGATTTTTTGAAACACTTGAAAAATTTTTTGAATACCACAAATAACTCACCGGTTCCCATGATTTGTAGAACGGACTGACCTCAAGCACATGCCTCTCAAGATAGCTGACCAAATGCCAGCAGGCCATCGAACCAGCCAGAAACATTACTGAAATATACATCACAGCATAAAGATCGCAAATTGTGGACATCATTTGAGAAATTATTGATGTTGGATTTTGTTGATTTGATGAATGAATGTTACATCTGCGCAATTCAGGAGTGATCACTTAAAATATTTCATTTTCGAATACCTGTTCTCAGTCTTTTTGTTGTTTGTTAGAAATCAACAATTGCAGTTTATGCAACGACTTTGTTAACGATTGCTGTTTAGGGCTATTGAGTGGAACTGTTTGAGCCTGATGCAGACCAAGAATCCCCCTCTTAACAGGGTAGATGTGAAAGGATTGAGGCGATTGCAAGTTACGTTGAAATGAATAGAATGCATAAAAAAGTACTACCTGAGAAGAGCATGAAGAGTGCAGTGGCAAGAACAAACTTAGTGCTACGCCGCCAGCAACCGATCATACCCATCACCGAACAAACCGCAAATACGGCCAATCCAAGTAAGTAGAGAACAGCTGCACCCCACATTGCATAGTATCGGTACAACTGTAGACTGTTGTACTTCTCGAACGCGATATCTGACGGGTGATAATCGCTATTCCAAACACACGGTGAGCCGAATTTCGAGAAACTTCCAATATCTTCAATTACTCACTATTTGAAATTGCTCACCCATACAGTTCACTCGCCTTTTAATTGTTAATTTCACATTTGAGAGCATATTCTTTTGAGATCATTTTTGTATCGAGTATACATTTTTGCAACTCACTGTGTGCCACTTCCCGTCTGACATGACTTGCCGTAGGGGATAAAAGAAGGACAAGCATTAGAGTAGTACCTGATGGAACTGCATCCGGAAAACAAATTAAGAAGAGACCATAACTCCTGGAGAAGTAGAGCAAGTTGTGAACAACGCTATCCTTCAGGTGTGCATTCAGCTGGGATTGTCCATTCATCAAGTTTATTATTTCGCGTCGATTCACCTAATAAATTCATTCTTAGCACCAATTCAATAAGGTGATTTTGTGATCAATTAAAAGAAAAAAAAACATCCCTGATCTATTCATATTTCATATTGATCATTAGAATTTCATGCATTCTTCAGATAATTCATGAACTGATGTAAATGTTTCGTTATGTACCTTCTTGTGCAACAGTTTAGAGAGGATTATAAGAAGTTAACTCAGATCGTATCTTTTTGTTACAAAACAATCTTACAATTTTCAATACGGTTTTCTTTTAGATTTAAATTATCTGGAATTACGAATTACATCATCTGTGGAATTTCAGTGGGAATTACGAATTTTTGAAGAGCATTCGGAATTTTATGGTTCAATGGATTGATCAGACGATTGATTTCTTCTTAAAGAGATGTGCTAAGCAAACAGCCTGAATTGCTTTGAATGAACAAAAGTCAATACAAAAGCTTTCGATACTGAGAACATTTAATCGTACGAGTGGAACTGCTATAATTCATCCTCTTTTATAGTCACACCTTAAGTATCCTGTTGCTACTGATTATAATGAATGTGCACCTTCTATTTGTCATTGTTTTCACAGAATTGAAAGCAACTTTGAGCTGATCACTACGGGATCAATTGTAGCGATTACTGATTTCAAAAATTGCGGTCTGTTCATTTGAGTCAGTTGGATGATATCAATAGGTTTATGTGTGCTGCAGTGTTTCGGAGTACACAGAAATGAAGTGATGGTAACGAGCGATTTTAGTTATGCCAGCTAAAAGCTTTGGTTAATGGCTGTGTGCATTGTTTGGTGCATGAAGTTGAACAGTGAGTGATGAGATGAGATCGATTTTGGTACAACATTTTTGTGAGGTTGACGGACATCTTTCTATTTCATATGTCTACCTACATATCAATTGGAATCAATCAAAGAAGGATAGATGTATTTGGAATGTATTGTGCAGTATGCGACACTACCTTGATGATACTTTTCGTTCGATCTGTCTGATGCGTTGCTTCTGTTACATGCAATGGATCAAGGAAATTAAATTACTGGGTGTGGTGAGCAGCTATAGAGGACACCATAGTGCAGTGATTGATAGATTGTGAAGATAGCGCTGAGTTCAGTGCAATGTCCACCATCTGTACGATGGGGTACGCACAAGATTGAACCATGCAAAATGAAATCAAACATGGGCATGCAAGACCACAATACATAAACTGCACTAGTACATATTGTGTGTTCTGCAATCATGTACAGTCAAGCAATAACGAAAAAAGCACCGTAAAATGTGCAATTTTGAGTTGTCAAATATTCGTGTTGTATTGTACTGATATGTAACGTGTGCAGTCCAACACAATGACAGTTGTTGCAAATCAAACAGAATTTTGGTGGAAGATCTATCATCACATACACAGATATATTTTCAAGTGTTGGAAATGTAAGAGAATGTCGTCATTCATTGAAATGCTATGAGAGGATACCTGATTGGAACAAGATCATTAGATTGAGACATAGTACAACAACCTTCGTTTGTTCCCGTATTTCAGGTACATCACGCACACTAGAGAAACGATCTAAGAACTACTCATAAATGAACTTATTTAGATGAGCAGTTAATTTCACAGTTCAGAGCGATCGGATCATTATAAATGGATGACTGAGATATGTCATTACTGATGAATGCTGCTTATTCATTCATTCAGTTAATGATTTATTCATAGATCACCATTCAAGAATTAATGAAGAAGAAGTGATCAACAAAAAGATGTGAAAATGACAGATCAATGCACTTTTATTGGATTGCTTATGAATTGACGAATAAGATGATGATAATGACGATGAAACACGTAAATTGACAATTAATTGTTCATTGATGGAAGAAATAAATGGTATGTGTGAAGTGTCAGTGAAGCATTGGTATATCGATCATTAATTAACCAACCTGATATTCAGTCCAATAGTCGGTTATAAGCGCTAGCGTGGTAAGTGCTAATCCTAGCAATCCAAAAACACTAGTTAATGAGAGGAGCAATGGTGACGACCACATGATGACAATACACCACAACTGCGGCTCGCAGCGAGAGCAGCGTTCGAAGGGCCGATGGAAAGGAATGAAACGCCTCTCGCTCTCACATTCAACTCGTCCATTTTATAGTTGTCTCAATTCCACCTTCTTCTTCTTCTCTTCGCAATCATGCATCCGTTCATGCAACAACCTTAGATGGTGCACCACCGACCGATCGAATGTCACTTATAGTTGCTGATGGGCCACACCTTGTCTTATGCACACGCGTTTACAATAAATACCACATGCATGCATCTGTATTTGTTTATACAATAAATGAATTACATTTGACCCCTTCTTCACTCGATCCTCTCCTCTTGTTGTGCAATCATCTCGATCCTAGTCGCATTGCACACAACAATTAAACCAAAGTCGTCGTTTCATTCGTTCATTCCACATTCTTGTCATTCTATACCTTGCTCCCTCCCTATAATAATACTTAACCTAACTAATGTCATCATTAGACGACACTGTTTTCATTTTTCGTATAGTTACTCTCGTGTTCTTTGCAATTGTCACATTTGTTCTTCTTTTAAACATCAAATTGCAACCTCACTTCCTGTTAAGCGTCGTCAGTCATTTATACTGGGAACAGTCAACGACAGCATTGCAGCAAAGAAATACTCGCTCATGTTATTCATTCAGCACTAGGTGGCGTTAGCATTCAATTCATGAATGATTGAGTGCTTCAAATATTATTTGGCACTCGGAATGGCCAACGCAGGTATTCATGCCTCACTCAACATGAATAATCAATAGAGTCAGTTCAAACCGGATCAGATCATATCAGAATCATCCGTGAAATTGGTGGATGGATCAGAGCAGTGAATGAAAGCTGTCGTCACTCGAAAACAGCAGCAACATTTACAAGCAGAATGAGAACAGAATTACTGATTGTAAATACTAGAGCAAGCGTGAAGCATAAAGCGATTCAATTTTTTGCATCGAAATTCGCTGTGGAAAACTTTTGATTGATACAGTAGATGTATCAGTCAGGTATATGAGTGAATGAATGCCCAGTCAAATTAGACTCTTTTCACTGGAACTGTGACTGACATTGCGCTGATTATTCAATCCATGTTATGGATTGAATCTCATTCGAGAAATGCAAATACTTATGCATCAACACACATAATCAATGAACAATAAAAGCATATTGTATGGTTGGTTGGCTAGGGTTGCTTCATTGAACATTGTCGTCATAGTCATCGTATATGAAGGCTGCTGGGCTGCTGCTACTGCTGCTACTGCTGCTCAATTATTCATTCGTTAGCTCTAGCTAGTTTAAGTTGTTACATATTCTTTCACATAACAAAATTTTACAATGAGGATGATGGTGACAATTATGGCCATTATCAGTAAGATATTATTCATTCATTCTTTTCAATTTTAAATGCCATATTTATTATAGTTTAATGGCATGACTAGTCGTAGATTTTCATTTGTTAACGAACCGTTTAGATTAATCTGAATAACTCCAGTGGAGAGAGGAGTGACTTTATCAGACATACAGCAGCATTCATTCAGTCACGATTAATAAATAAATAATTGAAATGAGGTACATGATCAGTTTTAGTTTTAGCGAGCAATGAAAGCTGTTGCTTTTGCGTGTTAAGACATGCGTACCACTTCAGCTTACTTTAATTCATTATTTACGATCAGTTCGGGAAGTTACGCTGATATGCTTTTGTTGTATCGAAAGCTATGTTATCGCGTACCTGCACACCTTTTAACCAGTTTGTTGCTGTTGTTGTAGCCATCGAATTATGAGAATCTCATTAATGCAATTTGCATAGTTATGTATTATAGTTAGCCATTTCTAATCATATTCTGAGTATAGTCAACTACTTAATCACTAATAAAATAACACGATTAGTTCCTTAAATAGTGTGTTTGCTCATCGGTTTGTTCGTTTCTCAAGGAGCAATCAAACTGTTCTTGAAAAAAAAAAACATAATAAATTTATTGGGAATAAATGAATGAATCGACTCCTCAATCGTTCCGCGTGATGCAGTGATTCCTCGTCTTTCACTTTATCCTCTATGGATCGTGAACAGTGAAATGAAACCGATTTATTAAATCCACAACAACGAAGAAGAAAAAGACAAAGTACAATCAAAAATCAAATAATTCATTCGTTGTTTTGAAACTCGGTCTGCAGCAATGGTTCTAATACAGAAAAAATTCATCGCTACGACGGAATTTGAGGGTGTCAAAGAAAATTGAGGATATTGGCAAATCGTTGTTGATTGATTTTTTTCGTGATTCCCTCATACTTGTCCAATGATATTTTCACAATGCTTGTTTGATCACAAGGAATTAAGTCCTTTGATACTGCTGTGACGAATCCTTGGCAGCAAATTTTTTGATCACTGAATCGATTTCTTAATGTTCTTCTGATTTGTCACTAAGACCTAATAGTTTGTCATCAGTGTAAGGCGGCAATTATAGTCATGTTTAGATTTTGCGAAGGGAACTGAGAATGGCGGTTTGCCATACGGCGGCAAATGAGGACATGGAGCACAAACGATTAAGAATCACTGGTATATATCAGCTGATTTCTTGTAGACATCATTTCATGAACTCACATTCACTTTCTTGAAACGACAAAGAAGCATGCATGCATGTTGTGGACATCATCAACCATCATCAGAGTTGTCATATCACTAGCATCTTTACAAACGTCTTCTTATCAGCTTGTCATCCTCCTGTCTTCTGATTTCATATCCATCTACTTAGTGTATCTATCAATGATGGGAAGTTTTGTTCACGCTCGACTTGTACCTTTCCGTTCCCTGTTCGGGTGATTTTTTATTGGTAGTGAGAAAATTTGCCAGAGACCCTGCGTACGGAAAGAGACGTTTTCAGAGTTTCTGGCAAATGCACGAAAAAGCATCCCATCGCTAACTCGTTAGACAATCAACC